CCTCACAGATGATGTGCAGCAGTGGGTCCCTCAGTCTGTCCTCACTCTGGACACTTGCAGTTGTCACACATGGAAATCAAATGTGTGATAAGCTGCAGGATTCAAACACAAGTGTAACTTATAAACACATGTTCATACTTTTATTCCACAATCAGAGAGAAAGAAACAGAGAGAGAGTGCAGGACAGACAGACAGGTGACAGTCTCAGGTGTACACACTGCTACACAACAGCACCAGAGAAGGAGGATTTAGTGTTTGTGTCATTACGAGTGCTAAACAAGAAGAGTTCCAGATGGTGCAGTGGACACATGTGTGACTGCTGTGATTAAAGCATCTTTCTTTCAGCTTAACGAGTGAACCGTCAGCTCGTTCAAACACACATTAAAGTCCGTTTGGCTCGACACCACCGAACAGAGGCAGCAATATAACATAGCTAACATTAACAGTGCAGTGAATCCTGCTTGTGCCGTAATATTCAGGACTGCAAACCGAGCAGCATCACTGACTTTCAGCCTGTTGTGTTTGTGGATTTATGACTGACTTTAATTATCCATAAAATCATCAGATTCTCTGTAAGATTAAGCTCAGCTATTGAACGGCGTATATTTTAAAGTAAAGGCTTTAAAACCAAGTTAGTACAAACATCGCTAATGTCACATAACTTTGCCGACATGTGGCCAACAGTAATGTTTTGTTCTTTATTTGTTCATTATTAAACACTTGCACATGAATAAGTGACATAATATCCAGTACTTACTTTTAAAAGTTTACTCTTCAGCCGCCCTGCTTCAGTCTTTTTTTTTGGCAAAATTACCCACACCCACCGCTGCACTATGAAGTCTGGGATATGTTGGGCCACGAAGTCTACACTGACCCATCCTTAAAATTCAGGGAAAGGAAGGACGCATTTGAGGGCTGCATTTCGAGCAGCCTTTAAATTGGGACAGCCTTCGTTGCGTCACTGTAATCGGCCTTAAAATGCGGCCTTTAAGTCTGCAGACTCTGAATTGGGATACAGCCCCTGAATCCACAGAACCACCCTGCCCTTGCAGCTGCACCACAACAAGGTCATTAGAGGCCACAGGTTTTCAGAAAGAAAGAAGGGTGTTGCTCTTGGTTAACAAACATGACAGAAAGTTGGATAGTGGCATGGAAAAACCAGTAAGACGGCTCAGTTTCCACTGAAAATGTTTTCAATGATTCTTGTGTTGAAGCACAATAATGAAACACAAACATTAAATACTTTTACGAATTCCTTAAAGGAATGTTGTAGAACAAGAAAGGAAGAAGTTTAGTGAAAACAATTTAGTCATGTTGGTGTCAGATATGCTGTTTGCTGGAGAGTCAGGACCCAGTTACAAGGCTTCCTTAATAGTGACAGTGAATTTATTTACAGTGAAAAACAGTTCCCACAAAACGTGATTTCCACATCGGTGAACATCGGTGATTGTTCCAGTTGAAGGTGCGGTGATCCTTCCCAAACACACTCTTCCCACTAAACATTACAATATAATACAGTACAATTTTTATTTATATAGCACATTTAAAAACACGAAAGAACACCAAAGTTCACAGTAATATGGAGAGTCAACATAAGTCAATAACAGGGTACAAATCGGGCAGTAGCACAGACAGGATAGAGACACTAACAAACCAGAAGAGTTAGATAAATAAAAAATTGGCTAAGAAGACAAAAACAGCAGTAAAATTAATAATAAAATAATACATTCAATAAAAGATTTAAAAGTTTAAAATTTAAAAAGTTTAAAAGGGTATTAACTGATCGGGAAAGCCAAGTCAAATAGATATGCTTTCAATCTTGATTTAAAGGATTGGATAGAGTCCAAGGCTCGAATAGAAGCAGGGAGGCTATTCCAAAGGTTGGGTGCAGCTGAAGCAAAGGCACGATCGCCTCTGGTCTTCAGTCTGAACTTAGGTTGGGCCAGGAGTAATTGACCTGATGATCTCAATGCACGACAAGGAGTGTACAGATTGAGGAGGTCAGTGAGCTAGCTGTTCGCAATGTTATTCAGTTTTCCAACTACAGGGGGATCACACTCCTCAGCCTCCCTGGGAAAGTCTATGCCAGGGTGCTGGAAAGGAGAGTTCGTCTGCTAGTCGAACCTCGGATACAGGAGGAACAATGCGGTTTTCGTCCTGGTCGCGGAACACTGGACCAGCTCTTTATCCTCTCGAGGATACTTGAGGGTGCATGGGAGTTTGCCCAACCAGTCTACATGTGTTTTGTGGACTTGGAGAAGGCATTCGACCGTGTCCCTCGGGTGTCCTGTGGGAGGTGTTGCGGGAGTATGGGGTGTCTGGCCCATTGCTACGGGCCATTCGATCCCTATACAACCGTTGCAAGAGCTTGGTTCGCATTGCCGGCAATAAGTCGGACTCGTTCCCGGTGGGTGATGGGCTCCGCCAGGGCTGCCCTTTGTCTCCGGTTCTGTTCATAATTTTTATGGACAGGATTTCTAGGCGCAGCCAAGTGGCGGAGGGCTTTCGCTTTGGTGGCCTCAGAATCTCATCTCTGATTTTTGCGGATGATGTGGTTCTGTTGGCTTCATCGGGTGAGGGCCTCCAGCTCGCACTGGAACGGTTCGCAGCCGAGTGTGAAGCAGCGGGAATGAGGATCAGCACCTCCAAATCTGAGGCCATGGTTCTCAGCCGGAAAAGGGTGGCATGCCCACTCCGGGTCGGGGATGAGTTCCTGCCCCAAGTGGAGGAGTTCAAGTATCTCAGGGTCTTGTTCACGAGTGATGGGAGAAGGGAGCCGGAGATCGACAGACGGATTGGGGCTGCAGCTGCAGTAATGCGGACGCTGCACCGGTCCGTCGTGGTGAAGAGGGAGCTGAGTGTAAAAGCGAAGCTCTCAATTTACCGGTCGATCTACGTCCCTACCCTCACCTATGGCCACGAGCTGTGGGTAGTGACCGAAAGAACGAGATCGCGGATACAAGTGGCAGAAATGAGCTTCCTCCGAAGGGTGGCTGGCCTCTCCCTTAGAGATAGGGTGAGAAGTTCGGCCATCCGGGAGGGGCTCAGAGTAGAGCAGCTGCTGCTCCACATCGAAAGGAGCCAGCTGAGGTGGTTCGGGCATCTGACAAGGATGCCCCCTGGGCGCCTCCTGGGTGAGGTGTTCCAGGCATGTCCCACCGGGAGGAGGCCCCGGGGCAGACCCAGGACACGCTGGAGAGATTATATCTCTCGGCTGGCCTGGGAACGCCTTGGTGTTCCCCCGGACAAGCTGGAGGAGGTGGCTGGGGAGGTGGAGGTCTGGGCCTCTTTGCTTAGGCTGCTGCCCCCGCGACCCGGCCTCGGATAAAGCGGATGAAGATTGATTGAAGAGATTGAAAGAGAAAGATTGAAGAGAATTATCTGACAGCCAATCCTTAACCTCTCTCAGGCAATAGTACAGGACGTTCAATAATGCTGACAAATCATCAGTCAGTTGACAATAGATTTGAATGGCATCAAAGTAAAAGTGATAAGGAATATTGTATTTTTCAAATATGGAGCCCAAGTGTAGCATATACAAAGAGAATAATAAAGGGCCCAATACAGACCCCTGGGGCACACCACAACAGAGAGGGGCAACAGAGGAAGAGTATCCTCCCATCACAACAGAGAAGGATCTATCTGTGAGGTAAGAATTAAACCAGTTAAGGGCAGAACCCTTGATGCCTACAACATGCTCTAGCCTCCTCAAGAGTATATTACAGTTTTTCTCAAATGTCAAAACACAAAAGCCAATCCTGTAACCCAAATGACCAGTAGTTTAAACACATTTACTAAATGTAGCCACCATATTCCAGTACCATAAACACATGTCACATGAAGACACAATTCACAAAACACAACCCTCTGTACTCACAAATCTAAACACATTTTTCCTTGCTAAAACACATGTTGCAAAACAACTCTGCTCATATTCTCAAATGAAAGCCCATGTGATGCAAAATGCTTGCCACAGTCACCAATCTTTGAACACAGGGAACACACCTGGCGTCATTCACTACACACAATGACTCAAAATTGAAGACACTTGTTGCTAATGCTGTACCCACATGTAAAAGCAAGTTCAGAGTGCACAGTATGCTGAAGGTTCCAAACAAACACAATGGATGAAGGCAGAGTCAGGGGAAGAGGAATTTGATGCAGAGGAGGGAGAAGAGCTGGCCCTGGAAGAAGAGGAGCAGGCCAATGAGGAAGAGGAGTTCAAATGAGAGGAGGAAGAGGAGCGACCAACGAGGAAGAGGAGGAGGCCAACATGGGAGAGGAGAAGGTCCAGGAGGGAGAGCAAGACAACCTCGCACCATCATTACGGACGAGATGCGAGCAACAGCTCAGCGACATGATGCTGCACAGTGATTGTGGTGTGTGTGTGGTGTGAATAACGTAAATAAAAAAACTTCACACCCTGTTCATGTTTTCAAGATTACTGTTGTGTGCAATAGATTCTGTTTTTGCATTGAGTTGTGTTACAGTAGTGTACGTACATGCAGGATTTTCTATAGATTTATACTACTCATATGAAACTCACAAATCTAAATGCCTAATCCTCTGCAGAGATCTACGACGATCCGTTACTGTATAGTTTCTAAAAATATGCATTGGCAGTTATGAACCAAAGAACCTTCTCACAAATTGAGCATTGTGTTTTCAATTGTTTTGCTGTAGTGTGTAATGCTGTGTATAGTGTTTATAGTTTTGAAAGCTTCGAGCTGCTCTTTTGGTGTGAAAGTTTGAGTTTTGCAGTGGGAAGGTGTGGTTGTGTTTATGTAGCTTTAGAAAAGGGTGTTGTGTTTAGACGTTGGGGAACATGGTGGAAACGTTTGTGAAATGTGTTTTAGCATTTGAGAAAAACTGTAATGATTACTGTTTTAAAACTCATTTTTAACTAATATTCATATAATTACTTTTAAAGAGGTCAAACCTAATCAGGGCAAATTAACACCACAGGTATTGGTCTACAGGTTTGCATCATCTAATATGTTTTATTCTCTTTTAAGACGGGAATGAAAACGTAGAATCTGCGCTACCAGTTGACACAGGAACTTGTATTCTTCACTCTCCCTGTCAGGTTGTTTCTGTTTCCTTTCTTCCACCTCTCTAAACGTGGCATTTGTGTAGTATGTGTCGCCGTTTCCTGCCACCATGTCATCAATCTTCTTCATCAGCTCCTCCACCTGCTTTCTGTCTTTGCTTCTGTTGTTGAAGACGTGGAACCTGTTTCCACAGTTGTGGATGACTTGTCTGAGCTGTGGTTTGCTTTCACGTACATACTTCTGTATGGTGATGTCCTGGTCTTCAAGATCATCTCCGTGGGTGAACAGCACAATCATGTAATGTTGAGCCTTTGGAGCAAACAACGCCTGCAGGGCTTTCACAGAGTTTTTCTCCTCTTTCGTGAATCGACCGACTTGGAGCACCAGTAGAAAAACATGAGACCCTGGACTGGAGACTTCAACACATCTCACAATTTCCTTTTCGATCATTTCTGCAGGTTTCCCAGTATCCAGGATCCCAGGTGTGTCTATGACATAAATTTTTCTCTCCTCCAACTGTGTTTCACCTGTTTGACAAGTTTCAGTCACTGACTCTGAACTGGGAAGAGATTTGAAATGTTTTTTTCCCAGGATGGTGTTTCCAACAGCACTCTTCCCCACACCAGTTTTTCCAATCATCACAATCCTCAAATCAGGACCTGAAACACAATTCACAGCTTTAATTTAACACATCTGAAAGTTTATGTCAACAGGCTTCATGTATTTCAGTGATTATGAGCACATATTGGCATCTTGCTTACAAAAACATTTATCAACAGAGCAGATTAAATATATTTTACCTGATTCAGCCGCTCCGCCCTTCTCCTCATGATTTTCATTAATCATTGCAGTCTTCACTATAGACTCTGAAACGCAATTCAAAGCTTCAGTTTAACTTGTCTGAAAGGTGTTATCAAAAAGCTTAATGTTTTTTTTTTATGAGCACATATTAACACATGTAAACTGTCATTGTCCTGCGTCTGGGGACCCAACGTTAAGTATTATTGAAGTTATGAGTACTAGTTGATTTAGCTTTTTTTTTGTCATGTATTCATTTGTATTTCTAGCTCCCTTAGTCAGGATTTTGTGATTTCTAGTCTTTGGGTTTTGTTACTGTGCCTACCCTGTGTCCCTTGTGTTATGTCTAGTAGTGCTTGATTTTTGTATTTTCTGTTTTACTTTACAGTCCCGTGTCCTGTGTTAGAGTATTTTGTTTTGCGTTCTGCCTCTCTCTTGTGTGTGATTAGCCCCAGCTGTGTTTCCCTCCTGGCTCCCATACCCTCACTATCCTTTTTGTATTTGGTCCTTTGTCTTCCTTTACCTGTTGTCATTACGCCTTGAGGCAAATGTTGTTGTGATTTGGTGCTGTATAAATAAAATTTAATTGAACTAAATTGCATCTGCGTTTCCTCCAAGTCTCTTCCATGTTTCTCCTAGGTTTTTCCTGAGTTTCCAGGAATTTTCTAGTGTTAAAGTTTTGGTGAGTATTTGCTTAGTTTCCCCAGTTTAGTTTGAGATCTATGGCTTTTTTCCCCCTGTTTTGGGTCTTTGCCCTAATAAATGCCATGCCTTCAGTTTAAATTCAGATTTTATCTCCATTGTCTGCTTTTGGGTCCACATTCTCCTCACTCCCCACACAACACAACAGCCGTAATGGTCCCAGTTGATATGGATCTGTATGAGTGGCAGCAGGAAGCACTTTGATTACTGTAGGAAGAGCTGACTTGGAAGTCATGGCTCACACCTGACTGCGAGTGCATTTGTCGCAGGACTCGTCTAGCTCTGGGGGGTCCCCGAAGATGCCGTGCTCCTCCGCCCCACCAGCACCCAAGCTTCCACAACTTTGAGTGGTAATACTTTGCTTTTCTTCAAACACGCACTCTCTAGCCTCAGCATTGCTGGTCTGCGCACTAAAGGCTCAGCTGCCTAGCGTCACTCTATGCATGGTGAAAAACCACCAGTGGTGAGTGAATTAGACTCTTTTCCTCATGCTCCTCCCAAGCTTACAAAAGTCAAGACACGTCAAAAACTTTAAAGACTATTTGTCATGCTGGAAAATGGACAAAGACTGGTGTGTTTTTTTTCTGAGCCTTCTCCTCTGCCTCTGTGTGTTCCTGTCCCCAGGCAGCTGTGGCCCAGCCTTCCCCTGCACCCGTACCAGTTCCCCAGGTGAGGGTAGCTCTGGCAGGGCTTTTCCTGCTTCCAGGGCAGCGGGGCTTTGGCCTTCCCCTGCACCTGTACCAGTGCCTCTGGTGAGGGTGGGTAGGGCTCAGCTGGTCCCTGCTCCAGTCCCCAGGCTGGCTGAGGCTCCGCTTGTCCCTGCAACTGTTGCTTGGGTGGGAAAAGCAGACACCCTGCTGTTTGGTGTCTGTCCTGGCACCAAAGGATGTCGGCGGCTGTGGCCCAGCTTACTCCTGCACCTGTACCCATTCCTTGGGTGGGAGTGGCTGGCATCCGATCTGCCCCAGCACTACTGGTGGTCCCCAGGGTGAGGCGAGCCAAGACATCACCCTGTACCTACTCATCGGGTGGGAGTGGCTAGTGTTTGACAGATGTCTGCACCCATTTCTACCTCTGCTGGAGGTCAGGTAACACCGTGCAGCCACCTCCTTCGCCAGCTGAAGGTTCAAGAGTGTCAGTCCAGCTGCCCGCAGCTTCCATGCAACCAACCTGTCAGCTGGGGACTCTGGAGGGCCACCTGCTTTGCCAGAGGACTTTGTGCTTGCTAGTTGGTCCTGCCAAACCACGCTGTTGCCTACACCTGTGCCTCATGGCCTTTCACAAGAAGATTCTGAGTTCACTTCCACCATCTGTGTGTAGTTTGCATGTTCTCCCCATACTTCAGGTACTCCAACTTCCTCCCACAGTCCAACGACATTCAGTTAGTGGGGTTAGGTTATTGGTCATTTTAAATTGCCCACAGGTTTGAATGTGAGTGGAATGGTTGTGTGTCTCTATATGTTGGCCCTGTCTACCCTGCCTCTGTCACTATGGCAGCTGGGACAGGCTCCAGTGACTCTAAAAAGGATAAGCAGCAAAGAATGGATGGATGGTGTTTTCCCTGTTCTGTCTCCATCGTCTGCTTTTTGGGTCCACATCCTCTTCATTCATAAGTCTTATTGCTATCACCATGCCGTCTCCAGTGGCAGACAGTGTGGAGTGAGGAGAAAGAAGTGAGAAGAACTGAGTGCTAAGTGTGGAGAACATAAACACAAAACATTAAATATATTTTACCTGATTTAGATGAGGCCTCAGCACTCTTCACCTCAACAATTTCTTTAATTGTCACAGTCTTCACATCAGAATCTGAAATATAATTCACAGCGTCAGTTTAACTCGTCTGAAGGGTTTTAGAAATAAGGTTCATGTATTTCAGTGATTATGAGAATATATTCTGCATACAATAACAATTATGAACAGTGCAGATCAAATTTATTTTACGTGTTTTAAATGTAGCCCGAGCGCTATTCTTCTCATCAATGTCTTTATTCATCACAATCCTCAAAATAGACTCTGAAAAACAATTCACAGTTTCAGTTTAACATGACTAAAAGGTGTTATCAATTGAATTGAATGTGCTCATAGTCATGTATTTCAATGAATATGAGCATATAGTAACATTTTTGATATGGTAACAATTATAAAGAGTGCGCATGAAATATATTTTACCGGTTTTAAAAGTAGCCTCATCACTCTTCTCCTCATCAGTTTCTTTAACCATCACAATCCTCACAACAGACTCTGAAACACAATTTCTAGCTTCAGTTTAGCATGTATGAAAAGTTTAAGCAATAAGTTTCATGTTTTTCATTGATTATGAACACATATTGAAATTTTGCATACAGTAACAATTATAAAGAGAGCAGATTAAATATATATTACCTGATTTAAATGTAGCCTCATCACTCTTCTTGTCATCACTTTCTTTAACCATCATAATCCTCACAATAGACTCTGAAACACAATTCCTAGCTTCAGTTTAACACGTATGATGAGGTAAAGCAATAAGTTTCATTTATTTCAGTGATGATGAACACATATTGACATTTTGCATACAAAAACAAATATAAACAGGAGTAGATTAAATATATATTACCTGATTTAAATGAAGCCTCAGCACTCTTCACCTCAACAATTTCTTTAATTATCACAGTCCTCACACCAGACTCTGAAACACAATTCCTACCTTCAGCTTAACACGTTTGAAGGTTTGAAGCAATAAGTTTCATTTATTTCAGTGATTATGAACACATATTGATATTTTGCATACAACAAAAAATATAAAGATTATATATATATATATATATATTACCTGATGTAGCCACAGCACATTTGACCTCAACAGTTACATTAACTGTCACAGTCCTCAAACCAGAATCTGAAACACAATTCACAGCTTCAGTTTAATGCATGTGAAAGGTTTTTTTATTTATAAGCTTCATGTGAATGAATATGAGTACATTTTAACCGTCACGATCTGCGGGGGCAGACCGTGTGTGGGAGGGGAAGTGGAGACTCTTCCCCTGATCACAGCTGACTAGAATGAAACATAATGACACGGGGAGTGTAAAACTAACCACATGAACACAGAACTAAAGACCCGTTTCAAAATAAAACAAGACCTAAAACACATGACAGACTAGAACAGGAACGAAACACAGAAACAAAGGAGACAGATGATAAAAATAAATAAATCACTAACCTAAACCTCCAATAAACCCTAAATAAGAATAACACACAAACTTATAATCACCACACCAAAATGATAACTTCAACTGTTTGCATACAGGGAGAACCGGTCAACCGAGGATGCGATCGCCATAGTGCTGCACACATTACTGGAGCACCTGGAACACAGGAACACCTATGCACGGCTCCTCTTTGTAGACTACAGCTCGGCTTTTAATACCATCCGGCCATATAAACTCCGTCCCAAACTCCACCAACTGGGACTTAACTCCTCTCTGTGCAACTGGATTGTGGACTTCCTCACTAATCGCAGACAGAGTGTCAGAGTGGGTAAGAACACCTCTTCCACCCTTGTGGTCAACACCGGTGCCCCTCAGGGGTGTGTCCTGAGCCCTCTGCTATACACTCTCTTCACCCATGACTGTATTTCCTCCTGCGCGTCCAATCTCATTGTTAAGTTTGCCGATGACACCACAGTGCTCGGACTTATATCCAACAACGATGAGACAAACTACAGGACAGAGGTGCAACAACTAGAGTCATGGTGCCACGACAATAACTTGGTCTAAAACACCAAAAAGACCAAGGAGATCATTGTAGATTTCCGGAGGAAGGGTCATAACAACCATCTGCCTCTCTTCATCGGCAGTGAGGCAGTGGAGAGGGTGAGCAGTTTTAAATTCTTGGGGGTAACTGTGACCGAGGACCTGTCCTGGGGCAACCATATCACCTCAGTTGCACGGAAAGCCCAACAGCGCCTCTACTACCTGAGGAGACTGCGGAGCGCACACATTCCCAGATCTCTGATGTTGAACTTCTACAACTGTGCCATCAGCAGCGTTCTGACGTATGGATTTCTAGTGTGGTTCCCCAGCTGCACCAAGGCCGATCAGCAAGCACTCCAGCGGGTGGTGAAAGAAGCTGGCAGAATTATTGGAACAAGTCTGCCAGAGATCAGTAATATCTTCCCCACTCGCTGTCTGAGACGGGTGCACAGTATTCTGCGGGACCAACATCACCCTGCGCGCCACCTTTTCCACCTGCTGCCCTCAGGGAGAAGGTACAGGTCTATACAGGCCAGAACATCCAGACTGGCCAACAGCCTGTATCCACAGGCTGTGAGGCTCCTGAACTCTCTGCCCCCCTCTCACGGACAATAACCATATCCAACTTCTTAATAGCACTGAACTTACTTGTCAGGTTCTCATGTTTACTTGTCATGTTCTCATGTTGTTGCTAAGGATTGTCTTATTGCACTGGAGTCACACTGGGTTAAATATTTACACTTGGGTTTTAAGGGGTATTTATTATTTTCTTCATTATTTTATTTACGGGTTGTACGGAAGCCCCAAATGCAATTTCATTGTTCTTTGACAATGACAATAAATAAATAAATACAAATACAAATACAAATACAAAATTACAAAAAAGGACTCAGAACGTCAGCCTGTGACAATTAACACATGTAAACAGAGCATAATAAACATAATTTACCTGATTTAGATGTAGCCCCAGAAGTTTTCGCCTCATCAGTTTCTTTAACCATCGCAATCTTCACAATACACCCTGAACCACAAATCGCAGCTTCAGTTTAACACGTATGAAAGGTTTTCTGAATAGGTTTCAGTGTTGGGGATTAACAGAATACATTTACCACAGTAACGTATTTAAAATACAAAATATAAGTAACTGTAAAAGGTGGTATTTAGAATACAGTTACTTTGTTGAAATAAATGGATTACACGGCGGTCTTTTCCCGTTTCATATGTTAGGCTATGCCCTCTCTATTGTTGGTAATTCCACGCCATGTAAATATAATAATAACCACTGCAGCCAAAAAGAGTGCCTGACGAGCCCAGTTGTAAGCAGTGTAGGGACTAATGCGTTATTAAGTAACGCGTTACAGTAACTACGTTATTATTGTGGTAACGAGCACGGTAACTAGTTATTATGCAAAAATCAGGAACACGTTAATCGCTACTGGGATTTAGATAGGGTCGTTATTCATTACTTCGTGTGGTGGCTATCACGGAGCTTCCACAGATTCAGTAACATTAGCAAATAGTGGAGGCCAGCAGGTGGATGAGAGAAAGAGGACGCAGGAGGAGGAGAGACCCGAGGCGGCCGCCGGTTCAAGTGTCAGGTGAACTGAACTTCAGGTAAGAAGTTATGACCTGCAGTCTATCTGGGTCAGATACAGGGAGTGCAGAATTATTAGGCAAGTTGTATTTTTGAGGAATAATTTTATTATTGAACAACAACCATGTTCTCAATGAACCCAAAAAACTCATTAATATCAAAGCTGAATGTTTTTGGAAGTAGTTTTTAGTTTGTTTTTAGTTTTAGCTATTTTAGGGGGATATCTGTGTGTGCAGGTGACTATTACTGTGCAGAATTATTAGGCAACTTAACAAAAAACAAATATATACTGTGATATTATTCTGTTATCATATGTTACCTTATATATGTAATCAAAATAGTTGAATTATGATACTGCCGTAGATCATCTTATACCCTTTAACATAGAGTGTGTGATCAGTATGTAGTCTTAGTTTGCAGTATACTTCTGACTTAAAAGAGTGTGAAAATCCTTAGATCTATTGGATTGACCTGTATTACTAGACACTGTTGAATGTGTTACACTGTGTCTTGACATTTCATACTGCTGAATCATGAAGAGAATGTTGTGTGCAGAGGACCTTGTGCCGATAATAAGAGAGACAGACCACATTCCATACCCC